ACAGCTGAGAGGGCCGGTTTCATTAATTAATTTCGCTAACGGTAGCATTTTTAAGCAAGTTCAGTGTCCAGTGTAACAATAAAATCCTGAGTTTTCAGTTGTTTGGTGTAGCCTGCTTGTAAAACTCAGCACTGTCTTACACCTGCTCTGCTCTCTGCTTTGTGTTCCAGCAAAGACAAATTGCTGCAAGTTTTGCTTTGGTTGATGTTCAAATATGTGATCAATGTCGTGTCCACGGTATCTAAAGTGTTTTCTTTCTTTTGGACTGCTTGATCTGAGCAAATCACTCTTCAGCCGTGATTCCGAGCATCTTCCATTTCTGTCTTTGTTCGACAGTTTTTGTCTTTGCACATTATGTTTAAGGCAAACTGCGCAGTCTTTATGTAAAATCACATAGCCTGTGACAAAAAATCAGATTGGAAGAGAGTGCCAGACTTTAGTCTTTTACATCATAGGTCTTGTAGTGCTCAAGGGGGAAGCCTGGTTATTGTAAACATTATCTTCATGACTGAAGTTGGGCATTTGAACACAGGACCTATGAGCATTGAATGGATTTTGGAGCCAATGGACTTTTTGGAGGAACAATTAGAAATGACCTTAAGCATCAATAAACAGCAGCAGGCCCACACCTGGTGCTTGGGATGGTAATTTACGAGCAGTGTTTTAAACATGAGGAGGAAAATAGAAAAATTGTGATTTTGTACCCGGAGATGTCATTTGACTGAAATCTAAAAAATAATACTGTAGTTTGTGTCTCTTCCAGTACTTTATGACTCTAACTCACCACCCTAGCTCCAAATACACCGTTTCTCACAGATTCAGATATTTGAACTTTTTTATAAATACCATAAAAATACAAAAATGTATGTATAAGAAAGTTTCGATGAACACTTTTTAGCAGAGTTGATTCATTGCTTGTGTGGATCTTGTGTGAACAGAGTTTCCGTATTTGTTGGAAACTTGGCATCACAGAGGCTGTTTGCTCTTATTCAAGGACTAATGATGCCTCTCTGCTTCCTTTCAGGGAATCGCCGGCACAGATGTGGCCAAAGAGGCATCTGACATCATCCTGACTGACGACAACTTCACCAGTATTGTCAAGGCCGTCATGTGGGGGAGGAACGTCTACGACAGCATCTCCAAGTTCCTGCAGTTCCAGCTGACCGTCAATGTGGTGGCCGTGATTGTGGCGTTCACAGGCGCCTGCATCACACAGGTAAACCGCTTATGTCTGAAATTGCAGCTCATTTAGCACACCAGTTTGAGTCTGAATAACGACAGACGGCTCAGGGGGACCTCCTGAATATGAGCTGAAAACGCTGGAACGAACACGTGTGAATGAGAATTTTTGAAAAAATCTCACATAATGTTTGTAACTACACAACCCAAAAAGAAAAGGACGTCACGATCACTGGATTTTTCAAAATCTTCTGTCTAAATTCAGTCTCACAGTTTGATATTGTTTGCTTGTGTTTATAAAAAAAAAAAAAGAAGGAAGAAGTTTAGAGTACGAGTGGGCAGAAAAAACTGCGGAGGTTCTATTTTTGGTTGTGTTTGTGTGCGTGTGTGTCATCACTCTGTCTGTAAAAATGATAGCTTGAAAAGGGGTGTAGTGTGGGGTCATGGAAGCAATCCATTTAAATTTGGCTTCGATCCACCAAAGTCTTAAAGGTGAATTTATTGTGGTGAATACAATAAAAAAAAAAATACAATTCTAGTAAGAACTGCCCAGAGAGTGAGTTGTTTGGCAAAGGTTTGTGTGCTCAGTGTGCTTCTTCTTTGTAGTGTTTTGCTTTAGATTTTTTGTTTCAAAACATCATTTCAAATTTTCATTTTTCACATGTATGTTAATAGCAGTTTGTGAATGCCACAACAATGCCACATACATACAGTGGCTTGCAAAAGTATTCGGCCCCCTTGAACTTTTCCACATTTTGTCACAT